TATTTCTAACCAAGGCTTATATATCTTTGGGGGTGTGCAAGCCCCCTGATTACAGGTAACGACCTACGTCACAGGAAGGGGTTGTACCATAGCCAATACAGTGATGGGAGGGGGACGATTTAGGGGTGTGCACGCTATAGGAAGAGGAGAGATTAAGGGTACACAAGTGACAAGATGGGCGGATCCTAAACTCATGATGGCGGCCTAACCTTGATTGTCCTTGAGCTGGAGACTTGATTTATTCCAAGCTTTCAGGGGAAGCAATCCACTGTCCCTAACAGCAGGGAGTGAGTCCCACCTACCTAGCTCTTGAATCAGATCCCAGGGTGTGGGCCTTGGAGGCAGAAGAAGAGATCACTTCTAGAAATTCTGGGAAACCCTCTGGAGGATGGGGTGTTTAAGCAGGATTTGAAGGCCAGGGGTTTCAATAGGTGGATGTGGGGAATGTCCTTGACATCTAGCCCACTCCCATGGGATGGCCTTATCCGTCTGACCTCACTCACCATTAGAACAAATGACTGGGCAAATGAATGCAGGGGAGGCTGAATGAGGCCAGCAAGGGCGGGTCCCTGGTGATCAGGAGGGTCTCAGTCAGCCTGGTTGTGGAGAATACCATCCCTCAACCTGCCCCTTAATGGTTAAACAAAATCCAAACTCATTGCCATCAAGTGGATGTCAGCTCATAGCAACCTACAGGACAGAGTAGGATTGTCCCTAGGGGTTTCCAACACTGTAGAAAGCCTCGTCTTTCTTCCACAGAATGGCTGGCAGTTTTGAAGTGCTGGCCTTGTGGTCAGCAGTCCCACGATTAACCAACTACGCCCCCAGGACTCCTCCTTCAATGGTTAGGACACCGCAAAGACACATCCTTCCTTGCATGAGTGGGCATGGCACCTAGCAGAAGGGCTCAGTGCTGGGAGACAGGGTGATGGGAAGCTTAGCTGGCAGACTCTTCCTCAGTTGCGCCGCCCTGAGAGCTGGCATCAACACCAGCTATACTTTCAGCCTAAACTGCTTGCCCAGGTTTTTATAACTATGCCCCCAAAGAGTCCTGGGCACATAGGGCATTTGTTCACTCCCAGTTCCCCTGTGGACCTGAAGGACACCCTTACCCCAAATCTTGCCCAGGTCTGTAGCGTTGTTGTTGTTGTTGTTGTTAGGGGCCATCGAGTCTGTTTGACCCATAGCAACCTTATGCACAAAACGGGGTAAAGCACTGCCCGGTCCTGTACCATCCTCATAATTGTCCGTACGCCTGAGCCCATTGTTGCTCCACTGTGTCCATCCACCTCGTTGAGGGCCTTCCTCTTTTTCACCGCCCCTCGACTTTACCAAGCATGATGTCCTTCTCCAGGGACTAGTCTCTCCTGATAACATGTCCAAAGTATGTAAGATGAAGTCTCTCCCTCCTTCCCTCTAAGGAGCACTCGGCCATACTTCTTCCAAGACAGATTTGCTTGGCCTTTTAGCAGTCCATGGCACTTCCAAGAGTCTTCTCCAGCACTGTAATCCCAATGCATCGATCCTTCATCAGTAGCGATGTGGGGCAGGCAGACACAGGTCAGCATCACTGAGGAGTAGGGTAGCTTGTTCCCCTCTGACAGAGGAGACTAACGCCTACAGAGAACTCAGTAGTTGCCTGAGTCTGGCCGCTTCTGAGAGGCAGAGCTGAGGTCTGTGCCTCCCAAGCCATTTCCTGCAACCACCTCGTTACCCTGGAAGACGTCCTCGACGGGCACTTCTCATTTGGCCAACAAACTGGGCTTTCCACAGCAAGACGTGCAGATAGAAGAGAGGGCGCAGCTGCCTGGCCTGGCAGCCTCTGCCTTCCCAACACAGCTATTCATCTTACGCTTATTGGGCCCAGCCCAGTGGCCTTTAGGCTGAGTCTCAGGATCCAGGCCAGCTTGCTCAGCACCTTTCTCCTAGTCTGTCTTGGGCAATCTGTCTTCTTGTCTGACCCCATCAGGATCCTTGTCTCTGTGTCTCTCTCTATGTCTCCATTGCTGTAAGTCTGTCTCTCTGCCCTTGCCCTTGTCTCCTCTCTTTTTGTCCACCTCAGGGGCTCCTCTCTATGGCCCTGCCTCTGTTCAGGAACAGCCAG